ACCTCAGCCTCCCAAGGCGTGGGATTACAGGCTGAGCCACTGAGCCTGGCCTAATTTTTTTTTTATAGAGATGAGGTCTCACTATGTTGCCTCCTGGCCTCAGGTGATCCTCCCACCTTGCCTCCCAAAGTGCTGGGACTACAGGTGTAAGCCACTGTGCCTGGCCTTAATTTCCTAGTTTCTTTTTGTTTTGTGTTTTTTGTTTTTGAGTTGGAGTCTCGCTCTATTGCCCAGGCTGGAGTGCAGTGACACGCTCACTCACGGCCACCGCAGCCTCGACCTACTGGGCTCAAGCAATCCTTCCACCTCAGCCTTCCAAGTGGCTGGAACTGTAGACACGTGCTACCACACCTGGCTTATTTTTTTATTTATTGTAGGCATGAGGTCTCACTAAGTTGCCCAGGCTGGTCTCGAACCTCTGAGCTTAAGCAATCCTTTCTCCTCGGCCTCCTAAAGTGCTGGGTTTACAGGCTTGTGCCACCGTGCTCGGCCTTTTTTTTTTGAGTCAGGGCTCACTCTGTTCCCCAGGCTGGAGTAGAGTGGCTCAAGTGATCCTCCTGCATTGGCCTCCTGAGTAGCTGGGACTATAGGCATGCACCACCCCGCCCAACTAATTTTTTTAATTTTTAATTTTTGTGGAGACAGAGTCTTGCTATGCTGGCCAGGCTGAATTTCCTAGTTTCTGAATTTCTCTCACCCACACATCATGCTATTGGTCACTGCCTCACGGTCTCACTCCTCTTCCCTAGCCCTTGATAGCTCTCCAGGTCTTTTCTTTAACATAAGCACCAGTCTTGATCCCGTGGAATAGATGGGTTTATTGCTGAGGGTGACAGCTGTGCAGTGTGGAGTGTCAGGAAGACAGCTGCCGGGAGGTGAGGTCACAAGGACCCTCATCGAAACCCATGGGAGGGGCCTGAGCCTGGCATCCCCATTTGTTTCAAGGGTGACATTTCTGAAGCTAAAGTGGCCGAGAACCAACTGTGTTTCTCTCCTTCCAGAACTCTATCCGCCACAACCTTTCCCTGCACGACATGTTTGTCCGGGAGACATCTGCCAATGGCAAGGTCTCCTTCTGGACCATTCATCCCAGCGCTAACCGCTACTTGACGCTGGACCAGGTGTTCAAGGTGAGTTTCCTGGTTTCTTCTCAGTGGGGCACGAGTTGGAGGTCGTCATAGCCGTCGTGAAAGGAAGCAGGTTCTTGGGATGCCCTCATTTGATCCAGGGAGAGTTAGAAGCCAGCCAGCCAATGAGGGACTTGCACAAAACTCGCCGATAAGTACAGCTGAGAGACACCAAGGAACACATTTCTGTGCTAGATCAGGGCATGGAGAGTACTGCTCTGACCCGAAAGAGAGGACATCCCAGGGCAGTGTCTTCCTAACTTCCCTGTGACTGAGAATTACCTGGGACACTTGTTCAAACAGCTTTCTAGGCCCCGCTTGGGGCTCTGGATTCAGTGGGTCTGGGATAGGCCCAGGAATTTATTTCTGTTGTGGTCATTATTCTTGGGGTTTTTTGGGTTTTGTTTTGTTTTTGTTTTTTCTGAGTAGGGGTCTAGCTCTATTGCCCAGCCTGGAGTACAGTGCCACGATCACAACTCATCACAGTGTTCACCTACTGGGCTCAGGCAATCCTTTCCACCTTAGCCTCCCAAGTAGCTGGGACTACAGGTGTGTACCACCACATCTGGCTACTTTTTTTCTGTTTTGTAGAGACGAGATCGTAGTATGTTGCCCAGGCTGGTCACAAACTCCTGGGCTCAAGCAATCCTCCTGCCTTGGCCTTGCAAAGTGCTGAAATTACAGGTGTAAGCCACTGTGCCCAGCCGAATTTGTATTATTAACAAATATCTCACCAGGCGCGGTGGCTCATGCCTATAATCCCAGCACTTTGGGAGGCTGAGGTGAGAGGATCGCCTGAGCCTGGGCAACTTGGTGAGACCTCATCTCAACAATAAATCAAAAAATTAGCTGGGTGTGGTGGTGTGTGCCTATAGTTAGTTCTAGCTCTTTGGAAGGCTAAGGCAGAAGGATCACCTGAGCCCAGTAGGTCGAGGCTGTGGTGGCCGTGAGTGTGCTACTGCACTCCGGTCTGGGTGACAGAGTGAGACGCCGACTCAAAAAAAAAAAAAAGAAAGAATCCCAGGTGATTCTTAGAGAAAGTCTGGGAAAACTTGGTCTACAAAAACCTTTCTTTAGGCCAGAGACCAGAAGCCGAGCCACCCGAATATCTTTTCAGAAATAAGCTGCTGCTGGGAGCAGTGGCTCACGCCTATCATCCCAGCACTCTAGGAGGCAGAAGCGAGAGGATTGCCTGAGTCCAGGGGTTCGAGACCAGCCTGGCCAACTTGGCAAGACCTTGCTTCTACAATAAATAAATAAAAATTAGCCAGGCGTGGTGGCACACGCCTGTATTTCCTGCTACTTGGAGGCCTGAGGTGGAAGGGTCGCCTGATCCCGGGAGGTCGAGGCTGCAGTGTCCACGAGCACGCCACTGCACTCCAACCTGGGCGACAGAGTGAAACTCTGACTCAAAAACAAACCCAAAAGAAGCTGTTTGGGATTTCAGAGTGCCTGTGAGGCTTCTGGTGGCTGTGCCCGTTCTGGGAGGGCCTGTCTGGGGTGTCCCTCAGCATCAGTCAGGAACAGGTGTTCTTCCCAAGCTGGTCCGCTCCACCACGTTGGCGGTAACTTCATCTCGTTTCTCTCCCACAATGCCGGGCCACCACCAGCCACTGGACCCGGGGTCTCCACAATCGCCCGAGCACTTGGAATCAGTAAGACGCTTTCCCTCCGGCTCGGGGCTTGGCCTTGCTCCCTTTCACTGCTCAGCATGGCTTCAGAGGACAGACGAGGCGCGATGCTGGAAAGCGAGCCCATGGCCATGTGGCTGCCAACCCTGAACCCAGAACGCCCTGAGGCTCTGGAGTGAGGGACGGAGGCTGCTGGGCACACGCCCGCTCCTCCTTACCCTCCCATGGGCACCACGGGGCGTGCTGGGCAGAGCAGGGCATGGCAGGCGAGCACAGCGCGGCAGCAACGGGCATGTGGCACGGGCCCCGTGGCGGCAGTTCATTCACTCGCCGGCTTTCCTTTGCCGTCCGTAGCGCTGCCTGCTTTAGCTTCCCCTGGGGGTGGTGAGGACACGGGGGTGAGGCGATGGTGCTGTCCTGCCACGGTATGTCTGTATGCGGCCACCTTCCCACTAACCACGGCTTCGGAGACTGCTCCCCTGCATCCGTCCCCAGGTCGGCCCTTCTGGGCCCAGGAACCAGAGCCGCCGGTGGGGTTCTGCCTACCCCCGTCGCTTATTAACCTGGGTTTCTTTCTTTCCGCATCTGCCACAAACAGCAGCAGAAACGGCCCAACCCTGAGCTCCGCCGGAATGTGACCATCAAGGCTGAACTCCCACTGGGCGCACGTTAGTATGGGAGAGCGGCCTCAGCCCATCCTCGGTGGGGGTAGCTTTAGGGATTCCGACTCCGGGATTCTGTGTCCCCCTCGGAGGGGTCTGAGCTCAGACCTGGAGAGCAAAGCTCCTGGGACGGAGAAGGGGTGTGCCCCGGCCCCCTGCTCCTGATCGGCCGTTTCCTCCTAGGGCGGAAGATGAAGCCTCTGCTCCCTCGGGTCAGCTCGTACCTGGTGCCCATCCAGTTCCCGGTGAACCAACCCCTGGTGTTGCAGCCCTCAGTGAAGGTGCCACTGCCCCTGGCGGCTTCCCTCATGAGCTCGGAGCTCGCCCGCCACAGCAAGCGAGTCCGCATCGCCCCCAAGGTGAGAGTCCGCTGTTTTCCTTTGAAGAGGGGTTCCTGTCATTTCAAGAGGTGGGCCCTCCAGCATGCAAAGCACTCTGCTAGGTGTTCCTTGAGAAGCTTGTCCCAGCCTGGGCAACTTGGTGAGACCTCATCTCTACAATACATAAAAGAATTAGCCAGGCATGGTGGCGTGCGCCTGTAATTCCAGCTGCTTGGAAGACTGAGGTGGGAGGATCGCCTGAGCTCAGCAGGTCGAGGCTGCGGTGGCTGTGAGCGTGCCACTGCATTCCAGGCTGGGAGATACAGTGAGACTCCAACTCAAAAAAAAAGAATTCGAGAAGCTTGTCAACCTGGTTGGGTGCACAAGGAAAAAAAACATAGGAACATGTGATCACATAATAAGAGCCGAAAGGCTAAATGGCCGGGCACGGTGGCTCACGCCTATCATCACCACTTTGGGAGGCCGAGGTGAGAGAATTGCCTGAGCCCACGGGTTGGAGACCAGCCTGGGAAACTTGGCGAGACCTTATCTCTAAAATAGATCAAAAAATTAACCGGGCTCGGTGGCTCAGCCTGTAATCCCGCGCCTTTGGGAGGCTGAGGTGAGTGGATTGCCTGAGCCCGCGGGTTCGAGACCCACCTGGGCAGCGAGACCTCATCTCTACAATAAATCAAAAAATCAGCCGGGCGTGGTAGCGCATGCCTGTAATTCCAGATACTCGGAAGGCTGAGGCGGAAGGATCGCTGGAGCCCAGCAGGCAAGGCTGCGGTGGCCGGGAGCGGCCAGCTGTACTCCAGTTTGGGCGACAGAGTGAGACTCCAACTCAAAAAAAAAAAAAATTAACCAGGCATGGTGGCATATGCCTATAGTTCCAGCTCCTTGGAACTGGAAGAATCCCCTGAGCCCAGCAGGTCAAGGCTCCAGTGGCCGTGAGCGTGCCACTGCACTCCAGCCTGGGCGATACAGCAGGATTCCAACTGAAAAAAAAAAAAAAAGAGCTGAAAGGCATTGGATTACATCATAAATGGTGTCAGAAGGCCCACAAGACCTGACGGGTGTCTAAGGACTCAGACAAAAGTGGTTATAGGAGATGAGCTGGGATGGATAAAAAGAGTTTGCAGGGGAGGTAGGTCTCAGAAGGAAGTGGATTTGGGTGAGCAAACAGGTGTGGCAAGTGCATGCTGATGGACAGGGCCATGGGGGCAGGGAATACCAGTTTGTACCTGGCAGTGGTAGAGCGACCAGCTTGGTCTGGCTCAGGGTCTGTCAGGCTCTGTCCTGTTGACACTTAGGACTGGACAGTCTTTGTTGGGGGTGGCAGGGATAGTCCTGTGTTGAAGGGCGTTTTGTAGCATCCCTGGTCTTCCCCACTGGATGTCAGTAGCAGCCCCCAGGCGTGACAACTACAGTGTCTCCAGACTTTGCCAAATGTCCCCCAGCGGGGACGGAATCGCCCCTGGTTGAGCATCTCTGGTCTAGCTTGAGGGAACACTGAGAAAGTAAGTTCAGACCATCCTGGGATAGGCCATCAAATCTGCATTAATGCTGCAGAGAGGGTTTTGTGAGCACGGCTGACAAGGCACCAAAGGGAAGGGTTTCCTGCAGCCCCTTCAGGGAGATGGAAGTAAAATATGAACTCTGGCAATTAGAACTACGTGGGTTGGCTTTTGTTTTATTATTTTATTTTTTATTTTTTTGAGTAGGAGTCTCACTCTGTCACTCAGGCTGTGGCATGCTCACAGCCACCGCAGCCTTCCAAGTAGCTGGAACTACAGGTCCATGCCACCATGTGTGGCTAATTTTTTTTTTAATTGTAGAGATGAAGTCTTGCCAAGTTGCCCAGGCTGGTCTTGAACCCTTGGACTCAAGCAATCCTCTCACCTCTGCCTCCCAAAGTGCTGGTATTACAGGCGTGAGCCACTGTACCGGCTTTCTTTTTTTCTCTGGAGTTGAGGTCTCACTCTGTTGCCTAGGCTGAAATGCAGTGGTACCATTGTGGCTCACCTCAGTCTCGACTTCCTGGGCTCAGGCGATCCTCCTGCCTCAGCCTCCCAAGTAGCTGGAACTACAGGTATGCATCACCATGCCGGGCTAATTTTTTTTTTTTTGAGTTGGAGTCTCACTCTGTCGCCAGACTGGAGTGCAGTGGCCGCTCCCGGCCACCGCAGCCTCGACCTGCTGGGCTCCAGGGA